TATTAAAGTGATATTTTCTCATGTGTGTACAAGCAAAAAAGTTTACGAAACTTTAAGTTTTAACCATACTCTGTAACCTACTCATATTTCCAATATTTATGAAATAATTGCACACATTAATGAAATCAGCCACTGATCCAGAGCATATCTGTTGTGATATGTACACATGTCAAATGTTTATTAAAGTGATATTTTCTCATGTGTGTACAAGCAAAAAAGTTTACAAAACTTTAAGTTTTAACCATACTCTGTAACCTACTCATATTTCCAATATTTATGAAATAATTGCACACATTAATGAAATCAGCCACTGATCCAGAGCATATTGTAATATTTTTGCAGGTGCTTTGAAACTGTGTAACAAGTTCATCTATATCAAAAGTATTGAGTCAGACCTGCTGAAAAGATATCCATAACATTTATAGTTCATTATAATCCTACACCATCATGATGTCAAATATTACTCATAAAAGATACAGTAACTGGCACACACATGAATGTTACTGTATGCACATGTGTTCGTCATTGATGATAATATTACAACATCACACCATTAAAGTGACAAGTTACTAATTTTGTTCTCACATAATGTTGCTTATACGATAAATATAAACTGCTACTAAATAACACTTTTACTAAACCTACTCACATTACTTTTATTCTGGTATCTTTCTTCGATTTAGACACAATGACAAACACAATAACTCACATCATTATCAACAGTAGTACAGCATGGGTCTCCTGATCTATACAAATAAATGTCAATACATATGTGTGTGTGTATCTGTTCCTTATACATTTCTTGATCAATCAGCACCAAACTTGACATAGTTATACAGGATGACACGAGAAGGAGGGGGGCAGGGAATTACCAATGTTGTATATCCCTCAGCATTAGAATGAGCTACATAACCACTATTGTTAGAATTCTTGAAAACAGTATGTCTTTCTTTTCAGTATTGCACTTTTAATATTTACTATGTTAAGAAAGAAAAAAAAATAGAAGCACAATTTCCTATCCTTTGTTACAAACAAGTTTTTTATTGAACGGGTACCCCAACTAGTGATTATTAAAATCTCAATCTCAACAGCTTGACAAACAATAAATTTTCTTGATATATTATTCAGATATCTGAAGCATTAATTATAGAATATTATGTAAACATGATTTATTTAGTTACCCACTGGCACAAGTTCAACTGTTTATACAGTGCACTTAACTTTACTAAAAATAGGGGGGCATGTGCAAGGAAAGACTGGTAAGTGAATGAGGTGAGAACATCCAAAGTGGAGTGGCACATGCTCTTTGATTAGTAACTATACCATGTGATTAGTTGCAGTCACTAAAACATTCTATATTTGAATATTTGTAATTTGTTTCCAAAATTTTTATCTCCAAATTATTGACATTATACATTGCTTTCCACATTCTGCATTTTTACAGGTTTTCCTTAACTGTAACCTTCCTCTTGGAGATATTGCCTATCAATGACCTCTGCCCTAACTGTATCATGTATCATGGCATTCTTTTGCCATAGGCAATATTTAGATGTATATTTTGTTTTATGTAATGCATTCAAACAAAATTACTGATAAATTATTATTGTGATATTCTGTAGTTAATTGAATAAATGTAAGTATAGATTAAAAAATAAAAGAACACACCACAACTGTAGATTTGTTCTATCTTTGAACTGCCAGACTTTAGAGAAATAATCAAATTATTTGTTTTCATTTTAATGTCATTCAAATCTTTACTAAACAAATATATCAGTGACATAATATACCAAAAGTATTACATGTTCCTTCTATGACTATTGACTGTTTTGTTAATGTACTAAAACTTGTAAGATTAAAATAAGTTACTTAATGGAAATAGCCTATATCTAAATAATAACTTGTTAATGGCTTTTAAGCTGTAGTAAAACAATCTTCCGTGACATTTAGGAAGATGAGATAAAGCCTTGTCCAGACCAAATACAATCTGTTTAGGCAAGAACCTAGCTATAACTTACGTAATCTATTATGGCTATCTATTTACTCCACGTCATGTAATGGTAAACAAAAACATCTATGTACATAAGATATTTATGCATAAAGTACACATGTTGACTTGCTAAATGTGCCAGAATTAAACTGTATGTGATTTTTTGATGTGAATGATAACATTTATTTTTCACAATCTATATCTTAAATGCATCTCTGAATCACATTGAATTCCCTGACTTTTCCTGGTTTTTGACTGTAAAGTGAAGTTTCCTGGGCCAGGGAAGCAAAATATAAAGTATACTGACTTTTCCCAGTTCTCCTGACCTGTCCGAACCATGTAAACATCTGTGTGAAAATGTCATACACAGAATGAAATAGTACCATCTTTTCAAACATTGGGAAAAAACTGTGAAAATTAATATGTAATGTAAGGCAAAAATGTGTAACAGTCAAGTATGAACAAATAAACAGATTCAAATTGCAGATACACGTTGTAAAGTAAGACAGGTCCAAAGCAGTTCCATAACAAAGTTGATGCTAAACATATTAGATTTGCAGATCTTAAAACATGTGCAATCCATTGAGTACACACAAGTCAAAACTCTTCATACAAGTGATGTGTAACGTGTGCATTAGAATAATTTCAGGCTATGCTGCAGAGACAGTTTTTAAGTGGTACAGACCAGTAAAATGTAAGTGTAATTGCTGTACACTAACTAATTATATACTCTACAGGTATGTTGCATATATGTATGTAAACTTTACCAGTCAAATGTAAGTGTAATTGCTGTACACTAGGTAATTATATATTCTACAGGTATGTTGCATATGTGTATGTAAACATTACTAGTAAAATGTAAGTGTAATTACTGTACACTAACTAATTATATACTCTACAGGTATGTTGCATATATGTATGTAAACTTTACCAGTAACATGTAAGTGTAATTGCTGTACACTAGGTAATTATATATTCTACAGGTATGTTGCATATGTGTATGTAAAGGATAAACACCCATAAATAAATTTGGGTTCCTCATTATCATATTTTAAAACACTCAGAAAATGTTAAGAGAGCATTATAAAACTAAGAAGTTTTTTGTTCAAAGTGTCCAGAGAATGTATAGACAGGGACTCTAGTTACACAGAAGAGTTCACATAGTGACTGCAGTTACGATGAAATATATGTCAAAAACTACAACAGATGAGCTGCAGTTATTGTAAATGGTTAGTTTTTGAGATTAATTATCTTGTATTTTGTTCAAGCTTTGATAATTCTACAGGGAATTCTCACACAGAAGAGCTGAAAACATTCTAACTATTTGACTATTGCAGTAATTTGTGTAATGCTTTATAACTTCACAGTGTTGCTTCTAGGATTTTTCTCAAGTGGACCAAATCCTCCACTGACTTCCAGTAAGTGAGCCATCCATGTAATGAAGTAGGTATCAACTTCGTTAGCCATAAAAGTATAACATGATCAAGTATCTTTTATTTGAAGAAACAGTAAATTGAATCATTGCAATCTGTTTCCCTTTTGTATGTACTGAAAATATCTACGCATTCACTGACAAATCTTACATTGCAGTCATCTTCATTGTGCCTTTTTCCTTTATTTATTTTTATTTTTACATTGTTTTGATGGAAAAGTGTAAAAATTTTTTTGAAAATTAACTGCTTCTTGAATGTCTTCATACCTTTCGTTTCTTCCACCATTTTCAATCATCAATATCCCATAATATCAAGAGAATCTCCTACAAAGCCAAATGCATTGTCATAATGCAGCCAATCACATTCCTTTGGATATCCAAATGAGCTAATTACCGTTCAGAATTTTCCAGTTACGATCACGATCTATTGTTACGAAGCCATTTATAATAAACTACAAAGATCAGGAGCACACTGCATACTTCTATTTTTTGTTGTGGACTAGTATGCAGGCAAACGATTATTTTGTGTCAATGGCAATTAAGATAGCGTAAATATGCAAAGTACGCATCCTAGAAGGAACACTGCTTTAGTAATTTTAAGTAGTATCTAGATAATACAAATGACCACTGCATTTTACTTTTAAAATATTCAAAAGGATGACTATTAAAATGTAACTATACTTACAGCATGAACCATCTCAAACAGAATTGGTTCCTGGTCAGGTCTAAGTTCCATGTCCTCTAGATCAAACTTGACAGTTTGTTGTGCTACATTCACCTGGTAACAGGAAAACAAACATTTGTTACACCAATATACAAGTTTTTTTTTAAACACAACTTTAAAAAAATAAAACATTCTGTCTGATGGTAACATGTTAAACTACAGTATTTCTAAACATTTCGCTGTAACACAAATTACGCTGGCCAACAAAATAAACTTTATTTCTCTCATCACAGATGTAAACACACTTTTCTAGGCCAGTTTGCATGCTGTCTCTAAATCTGTTTTTGATTTTTGTCTAGCACAACTAGTTATTGAACTCTGACTGGTGTTAATTTCAGCACAATTCAGGTAATAATCACACATTAGGCTAGTTAATGTTATAACTTTATTCATTTTTCAGTATAATTCCCATAAGCATTATACACACCATACACTTGGTTAAATTTATACAGCAGACAATTATGAAAAAAGAAATGCACAACAACTTAAATTATAATTAAGACAATAACCTTTCAAATTTGATCGGCCTCATCACGAAAACTTGACGTGCTCGAGCAAAACCAAAAACAGATTTGGAATCAGCGTTCCAAGAGGTATCTAGCCCACCTATAATTATATCTGATGAAAATGACTTGTTGGCCAGTGTTATTTGTACAATTTCTGTACTAATAATTAAAGGTTATAAATAAATAATATATTAATAGATTAACCTAAGCTCTTTGGCAAACCTTCCACTGAAAACAATTTAGTGAAAGCTTGGATAAATAGAACACATTTTTTTTTTCAATAAATGCCACACTAAGCCTACAACGTTCCTTTCTGCTTCTCATTCAATCATCACATTCCTTAGTAATTACCACCTGTACATCTCTACATGCTACATCAAGTTTTGTTTCACTTTCATTAAGGAACTTCAGACTGACTTTAAAACAATGCTTTATGTACTAAATATTTTGTGTATCAATTAAAATAAATTCATTGCTCACAATTAATCGAAAAGTCAAATCTGTGTGAATAGTATAGGTATAAACTCATTATAAAATTAAAAAAACCATTGTCATGCTACAATCAGTTTTACAACTTGAAGTATATTATCTAAAAATCTTGAGGAATGTTATTGAAAATTGAAATAACAAAACAAAAGCCAAAGGCATATCAAACATTAGGTTAATGACTCAAACCACTTTCACCCATCAGTATAGTTTTAAATTATACTAGCAAAGACCCACAAAATATTTCCGGCCAAATTAGTATCTTTATCGTAACAGTACTTCTTTAAATATAACATTTCTAGCACAATACAAACGCATTGTAATCGTAGACAATGAAATGTATAAATCCACTTGTATATAGGCCGTACTTTATAAAACTTTGAACTTATGTTAGGCCTAAGTTCGATAAAGAGATAAATTAACACTGTAACCTGTGTACATTTTTTTTACTTTAGTTTAGTTATGACTAAACTTTACTATATTTAATACTATCAATAAATAAATTAATAATGTTATTCTACGACCTAACGTCAAACGTTTTTTAAAAACTTTGGTAAGTTTTTAATATTCTGTTGTACAAAATGATTATTGAAGTATATTTACATTCCACTA